TTTGAATTCAGGGCCTCATGCTTTCTTGGCAGGCACTCTGCCCCTTGAGCCACTATACCAGCCCCATCTTGGGTTGAATATTTTCAAGGTAGGGTCTCTGGAACTATTTGCCCTGGCTGGCTTCAGGTCCTGGGCTCTGCCTCCTGAGTAGCTAGGATTACAGGTATGAGCCACCAGTGCCTGACACCTTAGGGTTTTGTGTAAGTCTAACACTCTATCAAGTCCAGCCTGACATTTGGACAGAACTTGGAAGAGTGAGAGAAGCAGAGTGAGAGGGAAAAGCAATTTTTTTTTTTTTACGGTACTGGGGATTGAACATAGGGCTATATCTTGGGTCACTCCACCCATTCTTTTTTGATGTTTTTTTTGAAGATAGGGTCTCTTCAACGATGACCTCCTGATCTCTGCCTCCCAAGTAGCTTGGATTATAGGCGTGAGCCACTGGTGCCTGGCTAAAGATAAATTACCCTGGACAAGCCTGACATAATCAGGGGAGCTCTTTTTTTTTTTTTGGATGGTGCCTCACACTTGCTAAGCAGGAGCCTGGGACGAGCAATTGCAAAGGTCCTAAGGAGCTCAAGGCATCAAAAGAAGGCCAAACTGGTGAGGGTGGATCCCATGTTCTAGGAGAGGCAAGCAGAGGCTCAAAGTGGGTTTCATTCTGTCTTTAGCACCCAGACCCCATTTCCTGCTATCCAGGAACATGCTCCAAGAACACCTGTAATCCTGGCAACTCTGGAGGCAAAGATTGAGAGGATGGAAAAGAAGCAGAGCTGGCCGGAGGTGTGGCTCTAGCAGTAGAGCCTGGCTTTAAAGCATGAAATCCTGAGTTCAAACCCCAGTTCCACCAAAAAACAAAAGCAAAACAAAAAGCAACACAGTTGTCAGGACTCCACCCTGTGTGACAAGTGAGATCTCTGGGGGTGTAGCTCAGTGGTCCAGTGCACACTGAGTATGTGTAAGCCCCTGAGTTCCAGTCCACAACTCTCCCCAAAAAGAATCTTATTGCAGGATTCAAGTTGGTCTGAAAAGAGAAAGGCCAAAAAATGCCTGAAAGGCCTCAGTTGCTGGGTGCCATTGGCTCATGCCTGTAATCCTTGGGAGGCCAAGATGGGAAGGATCAGGGTTCAAGGCTAGCCCTGGCAAATAGCTCTCAAGATTCCATCTCCAAAATAACCAGAGCAAAATGGACTGGAGGTGTGGCTCAAGTGGTAGAGCACCTGCTTTGCAAGTGCAAAGCCCTGAGTTCAAAGTCCTTTCCAACCAAAAAAAAAGGCCTCAGTAGTGCAAGAAATATAGAGAAAGGGAAAACAAGTCATTTTCCCCATTTTCATGGCTCCTCAAAAGCTATGTTATGCTTGTAGCAAGGACTGCTATCAAATTCCACTCATTGGGTCAGAGACACTCTTGGTGTCAGCAAAAAGCTTATCTCTCACATGTCATGCACTTTGGTCTTCCTCCTTCTCTGTGTTTAAGAGACCCTCAATCACTAGTAAGCTGGGGAGGGATGGCCTTCCTCTGACATTGGCATGGTTTGAGTCCGGGGAGTGAATCACAGACAGTGAGGCACAGGCCCTGGGCTCAGGATTTCCTGATGTTTCCTGCCTGGGAGAGCAGCCTGCTCTTGGGGCAGTGGCCCACTGCTCCCTGACGTCAACTCTACTTTCAATGAATGGGTTTCCTTTTCCGTTTGGGAAGACATGATATCTGTCATCAGTCCCATTGACCGTCTTTCTCACCCTGGCATCTCCTGTTTGGGAAAGAGGGAGTGGGACTAACGAGAAGGCAGTGAGCGTGGGTGGGAGGGTGGGCAGGACTCAGTGGACATGCATCCCAGGTGCCAGGGGATCTCAGTGAACAGATGCCTCCTTGTCTGAGGACCCTAAAATGTGCATCCAGAAGCCTCATCAGCAGGAGTAGGGTCCCTCCCAGATTGTGAGCCCTCCAAGTAACTTTGGGACACAGGAATGCTCCCAGGTAGGCTCTCTGGGCCCCTTGTGCTATCTGGATGAGTTTTATCTCTTCTACTTGTTCTCAGCTACTAAGCCAGATGACATCTCCTAGCAGAAAGAATGTGTGTGCTGTCATCACGTAAATGTAAGCATTTAAAACTACTTTAAAGAGCCATATTTAAAATTTCTGCAACTGCTAAATGTGTGTATCCTGGGAAAAAGTCATGGCTGCCTCATTCTGGGTCTATTTCAGACTAGCCATGAAGCCAGAGGATCTTGGTGTGTGGTGTGAGAAGGGCCTGGGTCATTCCCTGCTGTTTATCATGAATGTAAATACGTATTCCTTCAATTTGCCATGCTGTTAACATCACCATCTGCGATTTATTTTAGATGGAAATTCCCAGCAAGACAGTTTGATGGTGGCTTGTCTCACATAATACCTCCCAGAGCCACATGCAAAAGGGAGCTTCCAGCTCTTTACAGGATGATGAGGCTGCCCCCTGGTCCATCCACGTGGTGCCTGTCACTCAACATGACAGTGCCGCCATTGAGATGAAGATTACTCCACAAATTCCAGTGCCAGACACTTGCAGAAGCTGCACACACAATGGATGGTCTCATCCGTATTACTGGAAGTTAGGAAATTTGATGATTCACCATTCCTAACTTGGAAGAGTTGAGTCAAACCACCTAGTATTTGTAAAACTGTATAAACTTAAAAAACAAAAACAAGATAAAACATTAAAACCAGTCTGAAGTGCTCGTTGACTGTAACCAATCTAGAAACTCCAAAATAAATAGCATCGGCTCATCAACATAAACATTTTAGTGTAGTTCAACTTATCTGTATTCTGTCTTTAACAAAATGAGATTTTTTTTTTCTTGGTGAGACTGGGGGTTTGAACTCAGGGCTTTAAGCTTGCCAAATAAGTGTTCTACTTCTTGAGCCACACCTCCAGTCTATTTTTGCTCTGGTTATTTTGGAGATGGGGGTCTTGCAAACTATTTGCCCAGACTGGCCTCAAAATACAATCCTCCAGATCTCAGCCTCCCAAGTAGTTAGGATTACAGGTAGGTGTGAGCCACTAGTGCCTAGCTTTTTGAGTTTTTTTTTTTTTTTTTTGAGACAGGTCTTACTATGTAGCACAGGATGGCCTCAAATTGTGATCCTTCTGCCTCAGCCTCCTGAATGCTGGAATTACAGATATTCACCACCAAGTCTGGCTGGGTTGTTCTTCATACTATTCTTTAGCAGTTTTGGATTTTTACACACAATGTCACTAACTGTGTCTTCTAGAGCATCTTTTTTTTTTTGCGGGGGGTGGAACAGTACTGGGGTTTGAACTCAGCCAGGGCTCCACACTTGCCAGGCAGGCACTCTAGCACTTGAGCAATTCCCCCAGCCCTCTTTTGCTTGTCATTTTTCAGGTAAGGTTTCATGTTTTTCCTTTGGGCTGACCTCCTACCTACAGCCTCCCATGTAGCTGGGGTTACATGTGATAGCTACCATGCGTGGCTTACTGAGGTGGAGTCTCCATAACTTTGTGCCTGGGCTGGCCTCAAACCACAGTCCTCCCAGTCTCTGTTTCCTGAACAGCTGAGATTACACACATGAGCCACCTCACCCAGCTAGAGCATCATTTTTTATGGAGGTGCAGTCTTCCAAAATTGTTTATTTAGCCAACTCCCTCACTGCAGATTGCTTCCATACTTTCGATATGGTGAAAAATGCTGAGACGAACATTCTTGTGGGAATGTGTAATTAATTTCCTCAGGATAATTTGGTGGAAGTGGAATTCAGAATGCTGTTTTCAGTGTGACCATTTTAACCTCACAACACCCCTGGGACAAGTAGGATATGATTATGTTTTACAGCTTTTCTAGTTTCCAAGTCCCAGCCTAGGTGGGCCAGCCAGGATTATAAAGCAGACACCACCTTCTTTCTCTCCTGCCTTTCAGAGTATTGCAGGTTTTCCTTTTTGTGTGTGTGTGTGTTAGGTGCTGGGGCTTATGCATGTTAGGCAAGCATTCTATTACTGAACTACAGTTCCAGCTCCTTCCTTTTAAAAAATTAGCTGTAAAGTGTTCTTGGGAAGCAGGGTGTGGTGGCAAATGTCTGTAATCCCAGCACTGGGGAGGCTAAGGCAGGAGGCCACCTTGGGTTACATAGTGAGACCCTGCCACAAAAACAAACAAAAAATGTGTTCTTGTGCTCCTTCAACTTACTGGGCATAGAACTGTGTATTTCCAGGGACCAGTCAGTGTTTTGGGGCACATCAGCGGGGTGGAGGAGGACATGTCACTCATCTCAGAGGTGGGGTGGAGGCTGGTCTGGGCCATGAAGTTGCATGTGCTGGGGTTGACAAGGTTAAAAATGGCCCACTCCCTCCAGTCTAGTGGGGATTTTCCATGGTTCTGTGCATCTTGGTGGGTCAGCATTAACCAAGTAACCGGACTTTGTTCAAGTCTAACACCTTGGGGGTGGGGGGTTGGTACAAGACCAACTAGCTGGGTGTGGTGGCTCACACCTGTAATCCTAGCTACTTGGCAGGCTGAGATTCGGAGGATCCCGGTTGGAGGCCAACCTGGGTAAACCCTTATTTCCAAAAATAACCAGAGCAAAATGGATTGGAGGTGTGGCAGAGCACCTGCTTTGTAAGAGCAAAGCCCTGAGTTCAAACCCCAGTTCTTACCAAAAAAAAAAAAAAAAAAAAGACTAACTGGCACTTTACCAAACCTAGCCAGAAACAGATAACGGTGTGAAGCAGTAATCGAGGTGCTTATCAGAGGGGAGTCAAAGTGACAGGTGGCGAGTCAAACTGACCAGGCGTAAGGGCGCTGGGTGGTCGCCCTCATCCGTCTGCCTACGTGACTAGTGGGAGCTGGGACGAGGCCACCTCATTTACCTGTGTCACCTGCCTGCATGCTGGCGGCCATCCTCCTGCCCCGCCTGGGGGAGGACACTGAAGCTCGCGTGCACTCGGGGCGGCGCTGGGCCACCCTCAGGCCGCGCGCCTGGGGGTTGGCGGGGGGGGGGGGGGGGCTCGCGCGCATGCGCACTGCCGTGCTGTCCGCGCTCGCGCTGTCAATAAAGTTAGCGCGCGCCGGAAGCGGAAGTGGTGGATCTCCATGGCGGCGGCGGCGGCGGCGGCGGCGGCGGGGCCGGTGTTCTGGAGGCGGCTGCTGGGCCTCCTGCCCGGCCGGCCTGGACTGGTCGCGCTCCTGGGGCGCCTGTCCGATCGCCTGGGCAGGAACCGGGACCGCCGGCGCAGGAGGTGAGAAAGGCGACCGGGCTGCGAGGCCCCGGCCCCAGCCTTCCCGCGGAGGGTGGGCGGCCCGCGCGGGACTGTCAGCTCGGGGGCGTCCTGCGCAGCCCCGCCGTCCCCACTTCCCTCCCCGCCGTGCTCTCGTGGGCCGGCTGGGTGCTCACTCGGGAAGCCTCGGTTCGGCTCGGGTTCTGGCCCCAGGATTTCTTAATACATTTTTTTCTAGTGGGACTGGGGTTTGAACTCGTAGGGCTTTGCACTTACAAAGCAGACGCTCTACCGCTTGAGCCAGTCCTCCTGTCCGTTTTGCTCTGGTTATCTTGGAGATATCTGAGCCTCCCAAGTACCTAGAATTACATGCGCCCGGCTGATGATTGATTGTTTTTTTTTTTCTGGGGTGGGAGTGGGGGATGGTACTGGGATTTGAACTCAAGGCTTCGCGCTTGCAAGACGGGCACTCTGGCTCTTGAACTATACCTCCAGCCCTAGCCCCAGGATGTGAGTGTTGAGAGGCCTGTCGTGAGAGTCACTGTCGGGATCGGAGGAGGCTTTCCCTTAAGTAAGCCTGGCTTGCAAGGTGAATCAGCCCTGCTGGGATTGTGTGCGTGCAGTGTTTCTCATATCCTGCCTGAGAGGGCTGTGAAGCAATCCTGAGTCAGTAACGCTCAGGAATGGGAATAGGAACCACTCGAAGCCCTTTGTACACTTCGTCAAGGGCCCATGTTCTGGAAAAGTACTGGAGTGAGTTATGTAAATGGTGAAGCAATTGGTACACCAATTGCTTGCGCCTATTGTTAATATTTTTGTTTTTTTGAAAAGGAAAAAATAATTCTCTTGTGTACAGATAGTTTTCTTATAATAGACATTTGACTCTCACACTTGATCCTTAATAAAATATCGTGAGTTTTTTTAGGGATTGGTATTAGAATTTGAACTTGGGGCCTCTACTTGCTAGGCAGGTGTTCTACCACTTGAGCCACAGTCCCCAGCTGTGATGACAGTCAAGCCCCACTATGCCCAGCTTTGCTTTTGTTGAGATGGGGTCTCACTAGGTTTTTGGCCAGGCTTGCCTTGACCCACAGTTCTTGGGATCTCCACCTCTGGTGTAGCAGGGATTACAGGTATGAGCCAGTGTGCCAGGCAATAAAAGATCTTTGAGATGAAGTTTCATTGTCTTAGGTTTTTATATCTGGGTTCCTTGGGTGAGATTTGACCTCCTGGTTAGAGAGGTCCTGGGGTCCAGCCATGTGTGCTATTTCTACGTATGGAAAAGAGAGCTTAGACATAATGAGCAACAGGAAGATTTTCAGCAAAAACTCAATTGGTTTTGGGGCACTGTTATGTGTTAGAATCAACAGAAATGAACTATAGAATCCTGCCCTGTGTGCTGGCCTCACCTGTAATCCCAGCACTTGGGAGGTTGAGGCAGGAGGATTTGGAGTTAAAGGCCAGCATGGGCTAGCAAGACCCTGTCTCAATAAATGAAGGGGCGGGAGAAACAGCTCAGATTTCATGTGGGTGAACCATGGGAGAGAGAGTGCAAGAGAGATGGCTGCTCCATTTTCTGTAATTGATGCTTAGCAAAAGACCTGTTCATTCCATTGGGTAGTGAAGTCACATGACGCCTGTGTCCTGGAATCAAATCAGTAAGATTTGTTTTAAAGTTTCAAAAAATGTCCTCCCTCAAATACAAGATGTTTAGGCAACTTTTGTTATTTCCCTGTGTTTAAGTTATGAAAAACACTTTATAGTAATTGTTCAGCTTTGGGATTGATTACTCAAGGTTATTGAGGCAATCTGCACAAATTCTTTTTTTGTCATTGCTGGGGGTTGAACCCAGGGCCTTGAGCATGCCAAGCAAGCACTGTATCACTGAGTTAAAACTCCAGCCTCACAAGTTCTTTTTAGTTACTTTTTTTTTTTTTTTGGCCAGTGGCTCATGCCTGTAATCATAGCAACTCAGGAGGCAGAGATCAGGAGGATCATCCAGGCAAATAGTTCACGAGGCCCTGTCTTGAAAAAACCCATCACAAAAAAGGGCTGGAGTGGCTCAAGTGTTAAGAGCACCTAGAAAGCACGAGGCCCTGAGTTCATACCTCAGGGCTGCAAAAAAACAAAACAAAAAAAAGTAACAACACAGGACCTTGCTATGTAGCACAGGATGTCCTTGATCAATATTTTTTGCAGAAACATTTGTCTTGAGTGTGCAGTGGGGATAGTCCAGGTTGACTCCCAGAGTCTCTGTGTCAGTGGATGCAGTTTGTGTTCACATATTTCTTTGTGACTAAGGTAAGAGAGTTATTTCTCTGAGTTAACACTTCAACACTTCAGTTTCTTGGGCATTCAGTCAGAAATTCTTGTTTTATAATCCTTGGAAATACTGCCTGAGGATGAGTGCTGAGGCCAGTGTTGAATGACCCTCGAAGGTGTCTGTCCCTTCCTCTGCCTTGTTCGGTGTGTAGATTTTTTTCTGGTTCCTTGTGCCTTGGTGTTTGGTGTTATTCATGTGCGTTGTGACCACTCTTCCTCTGGTGCTGCTGACTTTCGATTTTTCTCCATTGTTCCCCTCCACCTCCCAGTTCCTCATTCCCCGGATGATGTGGTTTCTTGTAACTCTCTGATTATTGATTCATTGCGAATAGCTCTGTATAGTCATGAGCTTGAGTTATTTTAGAGGTTAGCTTGCCAGTCTGACTCAACTGTTGGGGGCTGGTGAATCCTTGTGGCTAGCAGGAGGAACAGCTCTTTTACTGCTGCAGTTTCCTTTCAGGTTTAGTGAGGGTCATAAGACTGAGAACTCTACTTAAACTTGTTTCTAACTAGTGATCTGAAATACTGTTGTTTCCTCTTAAGAAAGCATCTGACTCACTGTCATTAATGAGTACAGGATAATTTATTCACTGTGTGCGTAAAGCACTGCTGAGTACTGGGGAAGCAAAGACAAAGACCCCCACCTCACCTTCAAGGTGCTCAGACACTCCAACAGACAGTTACAGCAAAGAAGGTGGAAGGCAGCTGGGCATAGGCGGCTCACGCCTATAATCCCAGCTACCCAGGAGGCAGAGAGCAGGAGGATCATGGTTTGAAGCCAGCCTAGGTAAACAGTTTGTGAGACCCTATCTTGAAAAAATCTATCACAAAAAAGGGCTGGTGGAGTGGCTTAAGGTGTAGGCCCTGAGTTCAAGCCTCAGTACCACAAAAAAAAAAAAAAAAAAAGAAAAGAAGGTGGAAGACCATGGCAGCTTAGGAGGTCACAGCAGGCTTTCTGGTACTGAAAGCATAGAAGTAGGCAGGTGAGGAAGGGGGAGTGAGTGCTCAAGGGAGGAGGGATGTGACAGAGTGGCAGGTAGAGCTGAGATCCTGGGGGCGCTGGAATCTTTTCTAACAGCCGATGGGCATCCGGAGTAAGGAGAGAGGCGAGAGGCGTTAGGAGCAAGCCAGTCTTCGGGCCAGAGACACAGAAAGCAAGTTCTAGATTCCATAGTGATTCTTTTGTGAGTGGTCCAGGCCTGAGATGGTGGGGGCTCATGTGAAGACGACCAGTGGGAGTAGAAATGAGGGTTGGATTAGAGTTAGGACTGCTGGGGGAAGAAGGGGAGTGTGGATAGGTAGGTCATTTTTCTGCCTTAGTGATTGTGTGTGAATGGTGGCCCTCATGGAAACAGGTTGGGGGAGTGGTAAGAAAGAGGATCAGGCTGGGTGGACTCACACCTGTAATCCTAGCTACTCAGGAGACGGACATCAAGAGGATCGCTGTTTGAAGCCAATCTGGGCAAATAGCTCGAGAGACCCTATCTCAGAAAAAAAAAAAACCATCACCAAAAGGGACTGGTGGAATGGCTCAAGGTGTAAACCCTGAGTTCAAACCCCAGCACCTCAAAGAAGAAAAAAGAGGAGCAGGTTTGGGGATGATGCAAGGTCATTTGGGGCATGTTTGGAGCCTCCAGGGAGAGGTGTTCAGTGTTAGTGGACTGTGTGAGCCTGGAGCACCAGAGACAGAAGCCACAGGTACAAGTGTTTGGAGTCACTGGCTGCCCAGAGTGGGTTGCTTATTTGGAGTAGATGGGACTTAGTGGGAGATGTGTCTCAAACTTGTCTGCCATACAAGGAAATATTTTCTCTGTGGCCCACTTTTTTCTTTAAAACTATTTTCAGCTTGAGCTATATGTGTAAGGAAGTCCTTAGTTTGAAACTTTAGTTTCAATTAAAGTTCCAGTTTTCTTTATTCTAGGTGTTTGTGTTGTGTTGGAGGGAGTGGGGTTTCCTAGCTTCCCCAAGTTGTAGGAGGGAAACAGGTAACCAGATGGTTCTTTCACTTCGACTTTCTTACAGTGTAGTAACAAGGCGATTGTTCAACTTGTGGCTAGTTTCTACTCTGAGGAGCCACCAGATTTCCAGAAATTACTTTTCTTTGAACTTTCTGATGTTGGACCCTACTCTTCCTTATTTATTAGAACAGCCATCTCTTGGTTTTTATATTGCAGCAGAATGGGAGGGAGGGAGATAATCAAAGCATAATTTTCCCAGAGAATTCAGATTTGGCCTTGTATGAATTATAGTGAGATTTGCAGTGGACTGACTTTTGCTTTTTGTGGTTGCATCTTTATTAAGTTACTATTGCATGAGTATCTCTTGGTACATTGTAGCTGGTGATGAATTAGGCTCAGTCACGGGTGTGGCTAGGCAGATAGAAAACAATCTGGAATTAAAATGTTCTGATAGATAATCCCCTTGTAAATAGTGTGATCTGATTAACGTAAATGAGTCTTGTCAAGTCTGCCAGGAGTCAGGCTGGCTGCAGCCATAGGATGTACTAGAAACATGTGATTGGTTCTTGTCAGGCACTTTGATGTACCATAATCAACTTCCTTTTTACTAAGCCAGGGGGAGAGTCATCTAGTCAGCATGTAACTTAATGCTGGCAGCCCTTGCTTCTTCTGCAGGGCTTGCTTGGGGGTGTTCATCAGGCCATTGGTCTTGGGTAACCTACGGGAATCCGCCTCATTTCCCTCATTTGGGTTCAGGTCTTGCATTAGTCAGGAAGGGCTGCCTGCTGCCAAGGTTGCAGGAAGTACAGGACCTTCTTGTAGTTTCTCCAGCCCTTCTCAGGAAGTGTTATGACTTGTTCTCTTCTCATCAGTTCACTTTTTACGTTTTACGTGTGACGGAGGGGAGGGGTAGGGTAGGACGGGTTTTTCTTAAACAGTAGTTTCTGAAAATACGGCAATCCAGAGAGCTCAGTTTCTTTTAAAGACCTCTTTCTTTTTATGTCGTCTTGTACAGATCTGGACGGGATCCAAGCCACAGAGTCTGTAACATAAATCTTAGGTTTCAGCAGAGTGAATGGACGCTAAGACCAGGACTCTAAGCCCACTCTGAGGGACATTTCACTGATGTGTGTAGGACAGAGAATACAATTCCTCGTTGTTGTGGGTTCATGGGTAGGGTCTGAAGGTAGGGGAGACAGAAACCATGAGTGATGTGGAGGGTCCTCTAAGTGTGAAGTGTAGACAGAGGTGTACTTTTGAGGTTTGCTTTTCTTGATTGGTATCTCCTCACTGAAAATGCTGGAGCTTGGCTGGACCTCCAGGCACACAGATGCACACCAAAGGAGAAACGCCAGGTGTGCCAGTGTTTTTCCATGTGACACATGCAGCTTCAAAATGTCTGGTGAAGCCAAGTGCAATCTGTAATCTCAGGACCCAGGAGACTAAGGCAGGGGAATTATGAGTTCCAGGGCAGCCTGGATTACAAGTGAGACCCTGTCTCAAAAAACTAAAAACTGCTGAGCGCTGGTGGCTCATGCTTGTAATCCTAGCTACTAAGAAGGCAGAGATCAGGAGGATTGTGGTTTGAAGCTAGCCTGGGCAAATAGTTCACAAAAACCTTATCGAAAAAACCCATAACAAAAAAGGGCTGGTAGAGTGGCTTAAGGTGCAGGCCCTGAGTTCAAACCCTAGTACCTCAAAAATCAAAAAACAACAACAATAAAAAAAAGAAACCAAACCTAAAAAAACAAAATGTTTGGTGACATGGGATATTCCTGCCTCCTCACCAATGGGACAAGTGTCCTCTCTTACTTTCCTGAGGCTTCTTTTGTAAATAGCTGTGTTTGATGGCACTTCACTGTTGTCCCAGTGTCTCCATGGGGAGCTATTGAGGGTGCATTGTCCTGCCTGGGACTGCCTGTCCTCCTTGGGTGTCACCCCAATCTAGGGCTTAGGGACAAGGGCATCTGTGTATTTGCTCCAGGCTGGGAAGAAGCTTCCTTCCTGGCTGCAGTACACTCCTATCATACGTACTATACCTACTTGCCCAGGCTTCCCCTGGTCAGGGGGCATCCCCAGGCCACTGCCCAGTCAGGGAATTTGTCTGCAGTGTCCACATGAAGCCATAAATCATGTGGTTGAACGTTCACCCAGAATCGGGTATCCTGTGGGTGTTGCTGGAGCCTGCTGATTCCAAGAGGATGTGTTCCATATCTCTTTCACCATTAGGACTGCAGGCTGAGGATTGCTTTGTACTTTGAGTTGGTCTTGGTTATGCTGAGGCTAAAGTAGTGTGGCTTCCGGGCCTGCTGTCCTGGAGGACCACCTGTTCTTGGCTCTGTTCTGTACCCTGTTCCTGCATTCCCTCAATATCCCAGAGGGAATATGTGGGCTTACCGAGAGGCAAGGCTGGCAGAGCCGTGTTTTCTGGTCCCTCCCCACCACTTCCTCCTTCTTGTAACTAGAAATGGGTGCTAGATGGTATCTAGAAAGCAGTGACTCGGGGAGCCAGGTCTAGATGTGGAAATTGTGTGTGTGCAGTGGATTAGTTCTCAAATGGTGAGTGTGACATACAACTTGGCTTTTTTGGTAACCACAGGTCTGCCTCCTCAAATCTCTCTGGGGCTTGGTTTTTATGAGCCAGTGGTTTCTTAGTAAAACTCCTAATGGAAGGGGAAGTGCTTGTGCAGGTGCTCAGCCCCTGGAGACAGCAATTACTGTTTAGTGGGGGTAACGCTAGCGTGGGGCTGAGAGTCCCCAGGAGTTGTGTTGAGGGACCCCCATGAGTTTTGGCTGATGTGAGAGGGAAGAATGAAGGCCCCTGAGCAGGCAGCATGGCCCCAGGTGTCAAGAAGATTGCTGCCCAGGCTGATGCACTTGGCTTAGTTCTTGAGTGTGTCTCCTCGTGTGCGCTGTCGTCATGGGGCCCTTTCAGAAAAACTTGCTGCCTTTCAGAGCACATTCCCCCTGGGTACATAAAAGCACTCAAAGGCTGGGCCTCCTCCACAGTGAATCGGTGAAACCTAATTGGCTTCCAGCTCCTTCTCCTCTCTAACAAAAATAAACCTGTCAGTACACAGATTAAACAGGAAGCCAACACAAAAAACTCTTCAACAATTCTTGGACCAAGGCCCTGGTAGAACATTCCCAGGGAGAGCTGCCCGGCAGGGAAGAGACCTGTTTGAGGTAGCCAGCCCCAGGGTGCTCAGGCTGTGCAGCTGGTGTCTGCCAGGATGGCTCTCTCCTAGACAGGCTGGACAGAGGTGGAGGTGGACCGGGCACTGGAACGTTGTAGTATGTGTAGTCTCCGGACTGGCTGGGAGGACCTTCTGTGTTTTTCTTTGAGGATGGCTTTTATCAGTTCTTTGTACATCTGCTCACGTTACTCTGCCTGAAGGGTCCTCCACCCCTTGTTTGAACTGTACAATTTTCAAGGCCTGTTAAGGTAGGCTGCTGTAAGGCCTTCCTGGCAGCTCCAGGTATCACCTGCTCCCCTTTTGAGCACTTGAAACATGTGTATACATATTTTGACATCTATTTCATTACTTTTAGCATTTCTTTTCGTGTTGCTCTTAGATAGTTCCAGGCAGGTAAATTTCTGAGGTCACCATGACGGTGGGAGGCAGAGCTGCCTGGCTCTTCATATGTCCCTCCACAGTCCACCTTAGGTGCTCCCAGGAAGACTTGAGTTAGCTTCCATTGACATTTGCCCCCATTTGGGTCACTTTGTGCCAAGGATTGTCTCCTTATTCTCTTTGGGAGCTGTTTGCATCTCTTTGCCCAGTGGAGGCTGTGTGAGGATGGACCATATGGTGTGGAGTGGTGCAGGTAGAGCCCTGACTCTTTGCCATGTGATCTGAAAAATGGGAAAAGGTGCTGTAAGGTGTGTGTGGGGTCCCCTGATAGTATGCCTCTGTGGCTTGCCATAGCAAACAGACCATGTTCCATTCCTGAATATTAGACTCTAGGCCCTGCTGGGGGGCTTAGATTGGTGGGGGCTGCAACTTTCCATTGTCTTGAAGTTCTGCTTCCTTCTTAGAACAGCAAGGGGTGGCCCATTGTTTGGGGAGATGGAGCAGCACACCCTTGTTGACACTTCAGTCCGTCTTTCTTTTTTTGATGGGACTGGGGTTTGAATTCAGGGCTTCACACTTGCAAAACAGGTATTCTACCGCTTGAGCCACATTTCCAGTCCATTTTGCTCAAGTTATTTTGGAGATAGGGTCTCATGAACTATTTGCCTGGACTGACCTCGAACCCTGATATCCTCCCCCTTTTAGCCTCCCAAGTAGCCAGAATTACAGGTGTGAGACACTGGCACCTGGCTCTTCCATGCCTTTCATTTGCAGCTGACTTACACCCATGAGTTGTTGTTCTTCCCTCTGGGGACAGCACAGGATAGACTGCTACTTTCCCACCTCTGCACTGGGTGGCCAATGCCTGTTCTGGTCTTACTGGAATTCAGAGAGCCAGTACCTTCTATTGTTGACTAAAGTTTCTTTTCCTTTTTTGGTGGGACTGGGATTTGAACAACTGAAGTTTTCTTGGAGGAGTTGGCCATGGCAGACTGGTGGGCTTTCTGGGAAGCACAGCTGTGGGTCATCTGGCATCTGTGCAGGGCCATTTATGAACCCTGGGACGATTCAGCACTTTATCATGAAGCAAGCAAATGAAGTCATCTTCCTGGAATTTGTGACCATTCAGGCCTTGGGGTGTTTGAGTATCGTCTCCCCCAGCCCCTCTGGAGGTCACACACTAAGGGGGTTTTCCTGATGCTGTTTGCAGGACTGGCGTTCCAAGTGGGGTGGGGTCTGTGTGGTGCTCTAGATGTGTGGGACAACAGAGTGGCTCCATGGTAGCATCACAGCTCCTCCAGGCTCAGCCTCAGTGCAGCATTGTATGGTCAGGCTAGTGCTGGCCAGAAATGGGGCATGACCTCCAAGAAGAATGTGTCGGGTGGCAAAGGGCCCTTCTTGTTATCGCTGGCACGTCTTAAGTGGGCCTCTTTTCCCAGTGCTTTACTGCTTCTCTCCAAATCTCTCCAAATTTTAAAGAGAAAAATTATTTTTTTCTGGGTCCTTCCTTGACCAGAAGCCCCGTTGATCTCATGAGTCATTTGCCTGGGGTCTGAGTTGTAATTCTCAGACTTCTACCAGGCCTACCCTCATTCCAGGTATCTGTAGGCAAGGGTTTTTGAGGTGGATTTGTTAGGAGGTGGCAGTGTTAACCAGGCAGTGGCTATTGTGAGTGTCTTGTGGTTGTTCTAAATTTGGTCCCTGAGTTGTTTGGAATTGACTTAGTTGGGGTTTACCCGCAGGCACTGCACTTTGAGTTGCTCAACAGTAGGTTCTTTAAGGTGTTAGAAGAAGGAGGGCTAGGGGAAACTCTTCTACAGAGTTTGACTTGAGCTCACTTATAGAATGCTCTAGAAAATCTGAAATTGGCCAAAAGAAAACCCTCTTTCCCTTGCTGCTGAGAGAGGGCTCTGCAGAGGTATTGGGGGTGGTAACCCATTTGCATGTTTCTTTAACCAGGTCACCATGGCTGTTACTAGCTCCCTTGCTGTCCCCAGCTGTACCCCAGGTCACTTCCCCACCCTGCTGCCTGTGTCCGGAGGGTGTGCACAGGTTCCAATGGATCAGAAACCTGGTTCCAGAGTTTGGTGTCTCCAGCTCTCACGTGAGGGTGCTGTCCTCCCCAGCAGAGTTCTTCGAGCTCATGAAGGTAAGTTGTGTCTAAAGGACCAAGGAACAGAGTTGGAGTTGGAAGGCCAGTGGAATGGTTCATGTGGTAGCGTGCCTAACTAGCAAGTGTGGAGCCCTGAGTTCAAATGTTCAAACCCCAGTACTGCCCCCCTCCAACAAACAAACAAATAAACGTAAAACAACTCCAAAGACAGAGTTTCAAGATTGGTTGAGTCCTAAGCATTCTCTGTTCTAGAAACTTTGTATTTACTTGCTAATTTAATTGTTTATTTATTTTTACGGTACTGGGGATCAAACCCAGGGCCTCGTGCATGCTAGGCAAACACTAAATCACTGAGCTACATCCCCAGCCTGTTCTAGAAATTTCTGGTGCTTTTCATCTTAGCATTTTGGGCTCTTGCCTGTCTGGTTTCAGCTTTATAGGCTAACTTGGACCACAAGTGAAGCCTCCCTGTGTGGCCAGCATTTCAGAGCAGGGAGCAGTAAAGACAGGACCAGACTCTGATTCTTGTGGACATGCTGTTTCTTTTTTTTGTGTGTGGTACTGGGGCTTGAACTCAGCGCCTACATCTTGAGCCACTCTACCAGCCCTTTTTTGTGATGGGTTTTTAGAGATAGGGTCTTGCGAGCTATTTGTCTGGGCTGGCTTCAAAGGGTGATCCTCCTCTTGAGTAGCTAGAATTACAGGCGTGAACCACCGGCACCTGGCTTGGACACACTGTTTCTCATGCCCTTTTTGTAGATAGGGACCATAAGAAGGGAGGTTAGTGGGGATGGGCGAATCTCTGGCACAACCCTGCTAAGGCTGACTGGGGAACACAGTGGACTCCTCTTCCTTGAAGCATCTCCTGGCCCAGTGGCATCTTCTTCGTAGATGTGATACATAGGGAGCCCTACAGTGGGATCTGATGTGTGGGCAACAGCCAGTGCTGCCTCAGTGAAGAGGCAAAACTTGGAAACAGGAGAAATTTGAGCACCCTGGGCTCAGGTGTGGTAATTCTGGTTCTCTGGGATTCTGCCATGTTGTGTTCCTTTCCTGTCCTGACTGATGTCAGCTCTGCATCTTGGGGCTCAGCCTTCCTTGTTACTCAGGTTTACTTGCCATGTTTCATTGTTTGTGCTTGAACTGTTAATTGGAATGAAGTAATTCAGCACTAATTATTCTTTAGCAACATGAACTCTCTGAGTTCATATTAGCAATGATGCTGGAATGGAGATCTGATGAGGGCCAGGCAGGAGGCAGGATACGGGGAGATATGGGAGATAGAGGTGGGGATTCATCTCTGTGCAGAAAATGACCTCTCATCCATTTGATTGCCTGCCATTTCCCCTCCTTTTGCCCTTTTGTCCTGTTGATCTGCATTTAGCTTCATCTCTGGCTGGCTTGCCCTTCTTCATGCAAGTGTGTATGTGTTGATGGGTATGATTGCTCCCTTGCCCCCAGCTGACTGTCTGTCCTGGTCTCTTGGACATGCTCTTTGCTCCTGCTTGGTTTTCTTCTTGACTTGAAGAAACTGGTTTTCCAAGGTGCTTATTCTCAGCAGATTCAGCTATGGGTGAAGGACTGACCGAGTCTCTGGGTGGTGATCTCCAGACCATGCTGTGCACCTGCCAGAGTTGGGTGGGGTTGTAGAGGGCAGGATGGGCAGAGGGGCTTGGCCCTGTGGGTTGAGAATAAGCAAGGCCGCCTACTTCTGCCTCTGGAGTGAATGGTGGGCAGGTTCTCCTGACTCTCATCACATGGAGTGTGTATTTCTGGGACAGACCTGCAGGGAGAGAAGACAGCACTGGTTTCTGCCTGGTCCCCAGGCCTTCCTTATGGCCAGGGCTGTGTGTAGGGCAGACAGTAAGCAGCAGATGTGTTTTGGTTACCTGAGCTGGACTGATTCATACCTGTTTGCGTCTCTGCTTCTTTTCATCATCATCCCCATAGGTGTCTATTTTAATAGGTAACAAAACAAAGGAAATAGCAACCTGGAGAAGGTGTTTGTTTTTTCCTTTGCCTAAGCCTTTCCCAATGGTGTGTTCACACACCTGTCTAGTCAAGATGCCTAACTTCCTGTTTGGACAATGAGGGGTGGGGGTGGTACGCCTTCTTGATGAGAAGCAGGCATGTATGCCTTCCTCCTCTCACCTCACTTTCCAATTTTCTTTGAGTTTGACCTCTTATAACACTGCTGTTCTTTCTGGCCTTGTTGCCACATCTGGGTTGGGGCTGTCTAGAGCCTCAGAGGTATGGTCCATTGCTTTCCTTAGCTGGGGTAGGGTCTAGAGAGAGGACATTGACTGGTGTATTGTCTTTGGTACGAGTGTGTTTTGTTGATGTGTCTGTGTACCTGTCTCTGTACATTTCGAGTGTGTTTTGTTGATGTGTCTGTGTACCTGTCTCTGTACATTTCAAAAGAGGAACCTGCTCATTACAAACGGCCTGACTATGCAGATGGATGGAAGAGTGCAGGCTGCATCAGTATTCCCTTCTTTCCAGACTGCTCCTGGGGGTCACTTCTCAATAGGTGGATTTGTGTTCTCCTTGATCCTGCAGACATGAACGCAGTTTTATAGGTACAGCTGTGTACCTATATAGGGTGTAAACAGGTGGATACATGGTTTGCATTTTGTTCAGTCATTTGTTTTCTCTTTCAGCAATACTTTGTGGGCATTCATGTCAGTGTGCACAGATCTCCTTTTTTTTTTTTTTTTTCCTTGGCAGTACTGGGGTCTGAACTCAGGGCCTTGTGGTAGTTAGGTAGGTGCTCTACCACTTGAGCCACACCCCTACCCCGCCTTCATTCTTTTTAATGGGTACATTGCATTCTGTAGTAGGGTTAGACTGTGCCTTAGTTTGCAGGCTGAGTATTTTAAATTAGGGTTGTGGGTCCTTATTTGGTATGTTGCCATATACGTTGTGGGCCCACTTCAACTATTAATTGGTGAAGACGTTGTATAGGTCACCTTAGACTATGGTTTGCCTCACATGTCAGTGGTCTATGAAAATGATGAATACAAACTTTGAATTGCTTTTCCTTTTCCAGGGGCAGATAAAAGTAGCCAAGAGGCGGGTTGTGATGGCATCCCTCTACCTGGGAACAGGTCCTTTGGAGCAGGAACTGGTAAGGTTTATGAGGAGGTGACCTCAGCAGCAGAGTGAATTGGCCTAGAGCATTCCGGCTATACAGTGCTGTGAGCTGGTGTGGCACTGCCTTTCCTGCCTCCGTCTCCCAGCCTGCTCTTGTTCCTGTTGCCAGATGTGCCTGTCAGGAGTGCATGAGAAGGGCACGGGAAGCCTGGTCAGGTGCTGGCCAGTATCTTCTCACCCTGCACAGTGTTCTAGGCTGCTCTGTCTGCCAGTCTAGGCCTTGGCATGTGGCAGCTCACAGGCCAAGTCAGTCTGTTGCCTGTTTTGCATGGCCTGTGAGCTAAGAATGGCTTCTGTATTTTCAAGTGACTTCATGAAACCAAAGAAGAGGGCTTTGTGACTCATGTAAAGAGTATAGAATTTACATTCCCACGTCATCCATAAGGTTTGTTGGAGCAAGCCACACTTACTCTGCATAGTGTCTAGGGCTGTGTTCCCGTGGCAGCAGCACAACTGAGTAGTGACAGAGAACATCTGACCCATAAAGCCCCAAATATTTACTCTGCAGCTTTTTTCAAAAAAGGTTTTCTGACCTTGTGCTAGACAAATGAACCCGAACGCAGGTAGGACTAGCTGGGTTGGTTTGCCAAGGCTGAAGTCGGTGCCAGTCTCCACCTGGACTTGTTGGCATACCACACTTGTCACTTTCATTGAGGCAAGCAGGAGTGGAAAGAGCTGAAGTCACCTGGTATGCCTGGGTGCTGGTCATAGCTTGGAGGCGGGTTGAAGAGAATCTGTGAGTGAGGCCATTTCTTTGTTCTATCTCTGGGATCACTCTGTTCATAGGGAGAGAAATGGGTCTGTTGATTGTAGTGAGTGGTTTTTCTTGTGTGAAATTCACAGGTAGGAACTGGAAGATAACGTAGGGGTTGTAGTGTAGAGGAGGAGGGGGAGGTGAGGTAGCCTGAGTGCTCCCTACTCCTCTGCCTCTGAGCGTGGAGGCCATTCTGTGTTCCAGGTCATACTCTTAGCTGCAAGCTTGGGAAGCCTGTTTGTGCTCATGGGAGAGGAATATAATGTCCAGCCCATGGACAAGGGCCAGTGGACAGGTTGGTCTTGGATTCATTCATTCAGCAAATATTTACCAAGTGCTCTCCATGAGTAGGACGCTGTTTGTTGTATGTCTGTGCAAGGATTATGTGTGTGAAGATGTGTGTGGGAGCTGGTGTCTTAGAGAGTGTTGCCAAGAGTGGTGAGGTCCAGGCTGCAGAGCAACAACTCCTCTGTCCTGCGCCCTCCAGGGACCAGGCTGGAGAGTGCATTTGGTGGCTGCTTCTGGTTATGGTCACCAAGACCATTTCATGCAATTATTGCAGTGTTGGCTTCCCAGTGCTGATGTTGTATCTTTGTCGCCAGAGGACAGTGAGGGCATTAGCTGATGAGTTAGTGTTTTTAGATGTGTTCTTTTGGGTTCTTTTTCTTGTAGGTGGATTGCCTGGAAAGTACTCTAGAAAAGTCCCTGCAAGCAAAGTTTCCTTCTGACCTCAAGGTCTCCATTCTCCTGGACTTTACCCGGGGCTCACGAGGTAGGTGTTGCATGTGCCCTCTTTTTCTCTCAGATCCTTGGTTGGAGGAGCTACACTTCCTCCCCAGTCCCTAGGCAGAGAAGAGGCCTGCCACTGCATGATTGTCCTTGTCAGATTCCTTCTGCAGCAGGTCACTGAAACCCCAGCCCAAAACAACTTAGGAAAAGAGTTTTCTGACTCCTGTGACTGACCTCTTTGGATGGGTTATAATTTGGAGCTTGGGTATATCCCTAGGATCCATCTCCTGGTCCTGCTTCCACTGGGCTTGCTTTATGCTTGGACTCTGTGGTGGCCTCTGGTGGCTAAGGGTCATATTCCCATGACACTTGTCTATTGGAAGGAAGTCTGCTTCCCTGAGACTCAGGCCAAAGCCCCTGAACTGTGGGACTAGATCTGAATTAATTGTTGTCTGGGCCTGGGAGTATGCTGAGTGGTCTAGTCTAGGCCTGGTATTCTCCCGTGCAGCTGAGGGATCAGAGCAGAGCAGGAGGAAGAAGAGCAGGTGCCAGGTGGCAGAACCAGCAGATATCTGCTCTATGGAGCACTCACTCAGGTCCTGCACTGAGGTGTGTGGCAGGTGTCCAGAGCCGGAGTTGGCCCTGAGGTCTTCTGGGAAGCAGCATCAGTCCATGTGGCCAGTTGAGACCTGCAGCACAGGGGAGTGAGGCTCCCTCTCTGATGGGCAAGCTCTTTCCCGGTGTGAGTCACTGGTCATCTTCTCCACCTCCATCTGCAGGTAGGAAGAACTCTCGGACCATGCTGCTCCCTCTCCTGCAGAGGTTCCCAGAGCACGTGCGTGTCTCCCTCTTTCACACACCCAACCTTCGAGGGCTCCTTCGGCTCCTTATTCCCGAGCGCTTCAATGAAACTATTGGCCTCCAGCACATCAAGGTGTATCTCTTTGACAACAATGTCATCTTGAGCGGGTGAGTTGGCATCCTGTGTCAAGGATGTCACCTTCATGCTCTCTGGGGCAAAGGGGAGTTAGTTGAACAAGGAGAAAGGACAGGTCATCCCCTAAAGAACCTGCTATGTGCAGATCCAGATATTGTTGGACTCTTCCATGGTCCCTATGATGTGGGAGCTGCAGCCCACAGAGGTTGAGGGAGGGCAGCCACCATTTACTGAGCTACTCTGTGTACTGAGCTAAGCCCCTGCTGTGCACCGTCTCACCATTTCTCACAGTGAGCCTATGCGTATTTTCATCACTTCATACATGGTGAACCAGGTCAGAGAGATAGAATAACTTTTAGGGAGAGCCTGAGAAACAAGCTTACGCAGATCAGGGCACTGACAGCAAGTCCTACAAGGTTCAGCTCCACTTCTCAGCTAGGTGGTCAGTTCCAGGTTAAGGGGGATGCCGCCTGTGTCCTGTGTCACTTACTGCCAGTCTTGCTAGTTCCCTGGACACGGGCATTGCTCAGTAGCTATTTGTGAACCGGCTGCTCTTGTTTTGTTCTGACTTGAGTTTGCTGCTTCTCTCCCAGTTACCCTGAGGCTTGGATCACTAGCCCATGCCATTGTGCACTTCTGCACGAGTTCTTACCTGCTTGTTCCTCCCTGTAGTGCGAACCTGAGTGACTCCTACTTCACCAACCGCCAGGACCGCTACGTGTTCTTGCAGGACTGTGCAGAGATTGCTGACTTCTTTACAGAGCTGGTGGATGCAGTGGGGGATGTGTCCTTGCAGCTGCAGGGGGATGACACGGTGCAGGTGGTGGATGGGATGGTGCATCCTTACAAAGGTAAGGGCCTGGGGTGTGGGGTGAAGGCCAGAAGAGCACCTCTGGGGCCTTGCCACAGGTGCAAGAGTTGGGTGGCAGGGCCTTCGTCTTTCCTTTCTTATACTGTGTTTTTGCATTAGTTAATTCTCAGTCTTTTCTTGTCTAACAGTAGTGCCTGCAGTTTTATCTTTCCTTCCAGTGTGTCTGCACAGCTGCTTGTCACCACTGTCCTGTCCAGCTAAGAAAGGCACTCCATGTAGAGCCCAGGACCTTCCCTCAGAGGCCTTTGAGTGTCACCACCAGAGAGGCTGCAGTCATCATGGGGCTTCTCTGTCATATCTGTCCTGTGGAGTGTACTCATTCTTTTTAGTTACACTGACAAGTATTATTTATGTACTTTTTGACAGTTCTGGGATTTAACCACTTGAGCCACACGTGCTGTGCTCTGGCTCTTTTTGCTTTTAGGTTTTTTTTTGGTGGTACAGGGGTTTTAGCTCAGGGCTTAGTGCTTGCTAGGGAGGCATTGTACCACTTGAACCATTAGTTTTCAGATAGTGTCTTGCTTTTTGCTCATTGAGGAGGACCTCAATGTGAGATCCTCCTACCTCTGCCTCCCATGTAGTTACACTTCATAAGCCAGGTATTCCACCTCACCTGGCTTAATTTTTGTTTATTTATTTATTTTGGTGAACTTGGGGTCTGAACTCAGACCCCAAGATACAGAGCTAAGCAGGCTCTGTATTTGAGCCACTCTGCCAGCTGTGTTTTGTGTTGGGTATTTTTGAGATAGGGTCTTATGAGCTATTTACCCGGGCTAGCCTTGAACCACAATCCACCTAATCTGTTTCCTGAGTAGCTAGGATTATAGGTGTGAAGCACCAGTGTCTGACCTGGCTTAGTTTTTTAGATAGGGTCTCTATAATGTTTTTTTGCCCAGGCTGGCTTTGAACTGTATTCCTCTTATCTCTGCCTCCCATATAGCTGAGATTTTCTCAGGTGTGTTCCACCACACCCAATCCTGACACATGTGTCTGTTTAAATAATCTTCACGCCTGCTAGGCAGGTGCTCTACCACTTGAGCCACGTCTCTAAAATAAATTTTCTTCTTTTTTTGTGATACTGGGGTTTGAAATCAGGGCATATACCTTGAGCCACTCCACCAGCCCTTTTCTGTGATTTTTTTTTTTTTTTTGAGATAAGGTTTTAAGCTATTTGCCTGGCTGGTTTTGAGCCATGATCCTCCTGATCTCTGCCTCCTGAGGTTTATAGGCGTGAGCCAGCGGTGCCTGGCCCTGAAAATTTTTGTACTAAAGTTTGACATGTGTAACAAACGCCAGTCGTATGTACAGCTTAAGTGTTTGTTTATAGTGGCTCTCTCCTCAGTGGCCTCTCTTGGTCTCTTCCAGGTGTTATCCCCAAGGTAGCCATCATCCCATTTTTGGCATCCTAAATTCCTCTTGTCTGCTTATAAGCTTTTAGAATTGGAATTACTTATAGATGGGCCCTTTCACTTCTCCCTGTGTGTAGCCCTGTGGGTAGTGGCCCTGTCTAGGCAGCTGTGTCCTTGGAGCAGCCTTGCTCAGGGCTGTGTTCCACAAGTGACTGCTTGCAGCATTTGCACTTGCCTGTCACATACCATGTGCCCAGAGCTGGTAGAATCGTGACTCCCTGTTTCTCTTTCCCTCACTCCTCTTTCTCATGTCTCCTTCTAGGTGATCGGGTTGCATACTGCAAGGCAGCCAATAAACGGGTCATGGATGTGATCCACTCAGCCAGGACCCGCCAGCAGATGCTGCATGCCCAGACCTTCCATGGTGACTCCCTGTTGACCCAGGAAGAGGCAGCAGCCGCTGGTGACCGGAGACCAGCACCTGACACCTGGATTTACCCGCTGATCCAAATGAAGCCCTTTGAGATTCAGATTGACGAGATTGTCACCGAGACCCTGCTGACCGAGGCTGAGCGAGGCACTAAGGTCTTCCTCACCACTGGCTACTTCAATCTGACCCAGGCCTACATGGACCTGGTCTTGGGCACACGGGCTGAGTACCAGATCCTTCTGGCCTCTCCAGAGGTGAATGGCTTCTTTGGGGCCAAGGGCGTGGCTGGTGCCATCCCTGCAGCCTATGTGCACATTGAGCGGCAATTCTACAGCGAGGTGTGCAGCCTGGGGCAGCAGGAGCGGGTCCAGCTCCAGGAGTACTGGCGCAGGGGCTGGACGTTTCATGCCAAAGGTATGCAGCAGCGGGCCAGAGGACTGTTTCAACACGGCGGCGACTCTAGGGGACCACACTCCTGGCTCACTTGCAGTGTCTGGGTTGTGTACACATTGATGGTGCACACAACCCCTCCTGCGGAAGCCCTGCATGCTCCCATTTTGTCCTCATAGTAGCTCTCAAAGGCATGTCCTAGATCCTGGGGAAAGGGCAGGGAGACAAGAGCTGTCCTGTTTAAGTGGGGTTAGTTGGGTAAAACCTCTCCCTTTTATGTGCCCAAAACTTACAAACTGGAATCATTTTGGTAACTTTTTAAAAAACGTGGTCCATGTAATCTCTTCTAGAACAGATGCAAAAGAGCATGACTTAGTGTCATCTCGTTTTCAACACTCCCGCTTCTTGGCAGTGCAGGGGCTCAGACAGCCCAGCCTTCCTGTCTTTTCCTCACCACTGCTTTTTCCCCCTCTTATGTGTCAGTCTTTCCCCTATAACTGAGAAAATGGAAGCTGCATACTCAGTACTCAGTGTCCTTACTAATGGAAGTTCTACATGCTTTTTTCTCTTTTTTTTTTTTTGCAGTACTGGGGTTTGAACTCAGGGCCTACACCTTAAGCCATTCTACCAGCCCTTTTTTGTGATGGGGTTTTCAAGATAGGATCTCAAGAACTATTTGCCCGTGCTGGCGATCCTCCTGATTTTTGCCTTTTGAGTAACTAGGATTACAGGCGTGAGCCACGGTTCTTGGCTGTTTTGCTTTTCTTTTTCCTTTTTTTTTTTTTGCTGCGCTGTTGGGGATGGAACCCAGATTCTTGTGCATGCTAGGCAAGCACTCTATCACTGAGCTACATCCCCAGCTGCTGTCTTGTGTACTTCATGTACAGACCTGTGAGGGGAAGGGGGCTGTAGTCTGTAGTGGATATTTATTGTGATTCCGTTGAGTTCCAGTAAAGCAGCCCAGACAGGGCACATCTCTCTACTTGGATGAAATGCACTTAAACCTTGTGCACTGGCTTGCCCCATGGCCTCTTGGTGCCGTGCACAGGCCCAGCTCTAGCAGTGTGAGCACGCTTGAGGAACCTACCTCACCAGAAGAAGAGGCGTGGACAGCACCTGGTGATGCTGGGCCGTGAGAGCCATGCATGGCTCTTTTGGTCTTTCTTTGGGGTGCCCTGAAGCCTGTTGTACTTGGGTTTTGTGGACACACGTCAGTGCTATGTGGACTTGAGGGCATCTTCAAATCCTCAGGTTGAATTCTGTTTTACTCCTCCCAAAGCAGTGTGTTCAGTGGGTATACATTTAAAGAAATACTGAAGCCCAGCCATTGTAGACCTAAGTCCAGCTTGCTGTGTGTGGAACTTAACCTGGTATTTAAATTGTATTTTTATCCTTTGTTTATTTTTGTGATGCTGGGGATGAAACCCAGGGCCTTGTGCACACTGGGGATGCACACCACTGAGCTACATTCCAGCTCCTAACCTGTTTTTCTTTTTGTTTGGTTTTTTTGGAGACCACAATCTCACTATCTAGCCAGGCCAGCCTCAAAAGTCTCCATCGTCCTGCCTCAGCTTCCTGAGTGTGAATTATAGGCATGCATGACCACATCTAGCTAATTAATAATAAAAACCCCCAAAACCACAAAAACAAAACAAAAAAACAGCCAACAGTGGTGGTTTGTGCCTCTAATTCCAGCTACTTGGAAGGTAGAGATAGGATTGTGGTTCAGCGCACCTAGGGAAGAAGTAAATCAGACCTCCATCTCAAAAAACAAGCCAGTCATGGTATAGCACATGTGTAATCCCAGCTCTGGGGGGCAGTGTGGAAGTAGGATGGCCCAAGGCCAGCCCAGACAAAATTGAGACCCTACCTGAAAATAGCTTAAAAAAAGAAAAGAAAAGGACTAGGGACATGGCTTAAGTTACAGAGCACTTGCCGAGTAAGTGCGAGGCTCTGAGTGAATTCAAATCTCAGTACTCCCCCTCAAAACCAAACCAAACCAAACAACTCCCCTACCCCGAGATTCTGATGTCTAGTGTTTTTTTTTTTTTTTTTTTTTTTTTTTTGTGGTACTGGGGCTTGAACTCACGGCCTACACCGTGAGCCACCCCACCAGCCCTTTTTCTGAAGGATATTTTTGAGATAGTGTCTTACAGAATTATTTGCCCAAGCTGGCTTTGAACTACGATCCTCCTGATCTCTGCCTCTTGAGTAGCTAGGATCACAGGCCTGAGCTACGGTGCCCGGCTCTGATGCCTAGTTTCAGTTTGTGACGGTGAAGCAGCTGGTTTGTCCAGTGAGTGCCACTTGTGCTTTGAGGCCCATGTGCCTGCCCAGGCAGGCCGCATTGCTTGGTGTGGGAAACAGCTGTACCTTATACTGTCAGGCTCATCCTGGCTTGTCATGGGCTTAACTAGGTTTGTGGTCGGGTGTCTCAGGGCAGGTAGGGCTGGCAAGGGGAACTATTTTCAGGTTGGCCTTGTTACTTCTGGGAATCACTGCAATGCCCAGGGTGGGGTATAGAAGGGACCTGAGCAGCAGGGAGAGTCTGTGAGCTTTGGAGAGGCACTGCGATGTAGACCCATAACAAGCTGCACAAGAGGCACAGCTGGCCAGGCTCTTCCTTTGTCTGCACTGTGGCTTCCCAGCTAGGTCTGCAGTTCAGGAGGGTCCTGGCCTGGCAGTTCTGGCTCTGCTTTGGGTCGTTTTCCTAAAGCCACGCTTATCAACGTGCAGTGACTCCCCAGTTACTACTGAAGCAGAGACACCCAACTGGCTCTTCTGGTGTGCCTTGCCTTTTCCCAACTGTGCAACTCCTGCTTGCTTCCACCCACCCGGCATGGATGGGGCCCTGCCATCTGGGAGTGCTGAGTTAGTGGGTGGCAAGAATCCGGTAGCTGGGTCCCAGGGTGTGTGTGAGTGTGAGAGGGGGAGAGATGGCAGAGGTGGGTGGGGTTGGGGCACATGGACAGGTGAGAGGCCAGGGGCCTTCCCTGTGTGGTAGCTGTGACTCACAGTGGGGTCTTAAGTCGTAGCCTTTTCTTTCTCACCTGTTGATGGCCATAGCAGCCTGTATTGGGGCAGGGACAAGCCAGCAGCCTATGTGGCGGTTGTGGGTTTGGATGGTTGGTAGAGTGAACCATTTCTTCTAAGACCTGTGCTGGATACAGCTGTGAGCCTGTTCAGGTGTGTCTGTTTGGAGCTTTGGAAAATTCCTGCTGATGGTTCTGCAGTCCATACCATGATTCCCTTACCCAAGCTTCTGCAGGACAGGCCCTGGCTGATCTCAGGACCTCGTGCTCCCAAAAACCCTTGGGCAGAGGAGAGTGAGCCCAGACACTGAGTTCCTTGCACCCCAGTAGCATCCTGCTTGTCAGCATAACTCTTCTCAGGGAGTCAGGCAGCAAGACACTCTGAGGGCTATGTGTTGAACTTACTGGTGGTCCTGTGAGGGTGGCTTTGCAAGAAAGATTGGTTTGATATCTGCCCTCAGGAAGCCTGCAGGCAAAGTGAAGAGAGACAACCTTCTAGGGGGAGTGAATGACCACACCAGTCAAACAGGTGACAGGTTTCAGTGCAACTGTTGGCAGGAAATGCAAAGGGCCAGGATCTGCAATTCAGTATTTTTGGTTATCAAATACTGCCAAGGGTCCTGGTGCTAGGGAGGCTGAGGCAGTAGGAGCAAACCTCGGCTACATAGTGAGATTCTGTCTCAGACACCAAAACAAAACAAAACAAAACCTTTTGGCGGGATTACCTAGCAGTTGCTCAGATGTCTTGCTGGAGAGATCTTGTGGCAGCTGCTTGCTGGGGCAGTGCTTATTCTGTTGAGCAGCCCCAGTGGAGGCACACCTCACTGATTCCTAACAGATGTCAGTCCTATAGCACGTTTGAATAAACTGGGCTCTTTCAAAGAACCAGAGGTGCCTTCCACTATTTAAAGAATTCCTTTGCAGTATGGGCTGTGTGTTTAGTTTTTATTTGGAATTTTGCAGAGGACTCCTTCTTGCGAAGATCACATAGAAGCACAATTTGGTGTTGAGCTTACCAGACTTGGGGTCTAGAAGCCTGGTTCTCAGTTCATGTTTGCCTTTGGCAGAAGCCGAGGGACCTGGTTCAACCTCCTTCCTGTAGAGTGGGACAATGGCTTTGTCTGAAGAGTGCAGCAGCAGGTGTCGTGGCTAGTGTGTGTAAAATGACCAGCAACTCACAGCTTGGGGACCTTGTGAGTGGTGCTGTATGAACACTGAAATTTTCTAAGTGTACAGTGAATGACGAAAGATTGGACAGTGGGAAGTTTTGGATCCTTTGGTGTGCCGTCTCTGGCCTTGTTACCTGTACACATGCTGCTTCTTCCTCTGTCTCTCCCTCCTTCCCTCCCTCCCTCTCTCCCTTCGTCCCTCCCTCCTGCCTCCTTCTTCCTCTTCTTCTTTTGGCAGTAGTAGGGCTTGAACTCAGGACCCACACCTTGAGCCACTCCATCAGCCCTATTTTGTGAAGGGTTTTTTTGAGATAGGGTCTTTTGAGCTATTTGCCTGGGCTGGCTTTGAACCGTGATCCTCCTGATCTCTGCCTCCTGAGTAGCTGGGATTATAGGCATGAGCCATGGCGCCCGGCTAGCTTCATGTTTCTTGATTTACAATGGAAATGTATCCTGATAAATCCGTTTTAAGTTGTACGTAATGTGACCTGGAAACATGGTAAGTTGAAGGTGCACTTGATTCATCTAACCTCCCACTCACCCTGGCTTAGCTGCATAGAACACTATAGAGTGCTGGTGGTTTCTCTAGCCATCGCGGGGTTGCCTGGGAATCGTGGCTCACTGCCACTGTCTGGCGTCATGAGAGTGTCGTACCACATACTGGTAGCCCAGGAAGGGATGCAAATTTTAAAAAATGGGATTATGGTCCCGGTGCTGGTGGCTCACACCTGTAATCCTAGCTACTCAGGAGGCAGAGATCAGGAAGATCATGGTTTGAGGCTAGCCCAGGCAAATAGTTTGCGAAACCTTATCTCAAAAATGC